ACCAGTTTGAAAAACACCCTTGGGGACCAAAAAGGCCTGTGGACATCCTCCTCTGTGTTCCTGTTGACACCACTAATCTCCACGCCCAGCCCTTTCCAGCAGCCCTTCCTGCGGATACTTTCACTGGTTAACATTATTTCTACTACTCCTCGATTTCTGGGAGATGTAATTTCTTTGCCAGATGTTCACCACCCCTCATCGTGGACCTGAGTGCCCAGTGCAGTTCAAGGACTTTGGAGTCCCATCCGTCACTATTCCTCCCTGTTGACCCCTCCTTGCCCTGCGTCCCCCCACACGCTCTTCTCTGTTGCTCTAGTTTTCCAGCTTAACTCTCATCTCTAACCTGAAGCCTGAACCTTCCTCCAATCCAGCATCATTTCCTCTGGCACACACCTGCACAAATCCTCCTTTGTGAAGGGGGTTTGAGACAAGGTCTCACTCTGTACCCCAGGATGGCCTAGAACTAGGCAGCCCTGGCTGGCCTCAGACTCACAGCAGTCCTCCTGTCTCAGCCTCCCAAGTGCTAAGATTGCGGACATGAATGACGTCCAGCTCAATTCTTCTTTCTTAGTGTAAATATTGGATTTGGTTTAATTTTAACCATTTTCTTTCATTTGAACATAACTCTCTAGAGGGCTAGAGAGATGGCTTAGTGGTTAAGAGCATGTACTGCTCTTTCAGACCTGAGTTCAATCCCCAGAACCCACATTAGGTGGCCTGTAACTCCAGCTCCAGGAGACTTGATGCCTCTTCTTCCCCCATGGGCACTACGTGCATGTGGGGCACACAACTCAGGTTGTGAGGGCACACAAGTGCATGCACTTGGAAATACACACGTGTGTACACACACACACACACACACACACAAACACACACACCAAATAAATAAGAAAATAAATATAACTTTTTTAAAGTAGCAGAACCAGGACCTGCACAGTGTACACAAAGCCATAGGTTCAGTTCTGAGAACAGAAAAAACTGATTGGAACCTGTATAAAGTGAGGACGTGACTGCTCCAAGGTATGGTTGAGGGAAGGTTTTTATTGTGGATATGAGGGAGGGAACAGCCAGGGGCATCTGGAAGGGTCCAGAGAAGGGAGAGAAAGTAGTAGATTGAGCATGACCAGTGGACTGACTGGGGCCTTGAAAGGAGAAAGAGGTGGGGCAGAGAGACAGAAAAGGAAGAGTAGAAGGAGAGAGAGAGAGAGAGAGACAGAGAGACAGAGGGAGACAGAGACAGAGAGAGACGGGGGAAGCAAGAGAGAACCGAGAGAATGAGCCAAGAGCATACATGACTGAAATGGCAGCGTTACATAGGAATGAGAAGCTGGGGGAAGGGAGGCCATGAGGAGGCGTCTGGGGTAGGGGACAGGGTGAGAAGAGCTGAGAGGAGCCACAGCTGAGTGAGCCTGGGGGCCAGCATGGGCTGTGGTATGCCAACAGACACCAGGGATAGCCGTTTGTTCCGAGTTTATTTTGGACCCGACAGAACCCTCCTGTGTTGTCTCTGTTACACATCTCGTCACACCATTTTACTAACTCCGTTAGCCTGTCTTTACCGTGGGCTCCAGCTTCATGTCTTTTCCACCCAGCATTAGAAGATGCTCTGAACTCACTGGAAACACTGACACTTGGGAACTGAGCATCTGCACTAGGCTGTGTGTGTAACACGCATGTGCCAGCCCCTCACTTAAACTCCACGTGCTGGTGAGTGAGATCAGCAACATCAGACACAGCAGTAGGTGTCACTATGTCCTGACAGTGAATGTTTAGACATGAAGTGTGTGGGAGAGAGACAGATGATATTTCTCCCTCTATAAGACTCAGTTTTCATCAAATTACTGCTTAAATTGCCTCTGTCCAGGTTTCCTGAAGACCAGTGCCTTCCTCTCTCCCCTCAGTCCCCACCCTGGGGGCCCAGCTCCTGCTTGTTCCAGGATCCTGACCAGAGCTCTCCTCCATCAGCCCTTGAGAACCACAAACGCCCCCAACACCCTGTTCCCATCCTGTCAATGCCGCTGCTGAGGTGGCTTCCTTGACTGAATAGACTTTGGTGACCTTGGCGCAGGGAGCCATCTTGTCCCATCCTCTCACCTTGTCATCCTCTGTGACCCATGTGCAGAGTATAACACTTGCTTCCCCAGGAGACCACAGGAAATGTGATGCTTGTCTATCGTGAACATTTTGGAGGGCTTTAAAAAGTACTGAATTTTTCTATTTTTACCCAAAACAAAATTTAACTTACTTTATGTACTGTGATAAACAACATTTTACTGTATTTAACTTCCTATTTATTTATTGTGTGTGTGTGTGCGCGCGTGTGCACACACAACACAATGAGGAACAGAAATAAAACTGGCTTGACTGACCCTTTTCACGTCAGAACATGGCAACTCCGTCACTTCTAGATCCCAATTAACTTCTGATGACTCTGTCAAAGATTACTCCACGGTGTCAGAGGGTGCGTGCTGGGCTTACTGACATGTGATGTAGAGGATGCCATGGTCATGGCAGGGGCTTACTCCCCCCAAACCTTATTTTATAACGTATTTAAGTTGATTTTATTTGGGCAAAATGTTATTAATGTGAAAAAAAGTTATTAATGTGAATAACTATTAATGTGATTAATTTCATGTTGTCACTTAAAAGACCATTCATTGTCTGGGATGAACGATCAGTAAAGTAAATACTAAAATACTTTATCATTTATTTTTAATAAAACAAACAGCATTCTGGAGGCTCAACTTACAGGATGGATTGGAATGATGGGGTCAACAGGCTTATTAATTTCTCTGTGTGTGTGTGTGTGTGTGTGTGTGTGTGTACAAGTGTGTGTGCAGGTGTGAGTATCTTTGTCTGTATGTGTGTGCATGCATGTATGAATATGTGTATGTGTGTGTGTTCATGTATGTGTGTGCATGTGTGTGTATATGTGTGCCAGAGCATGTGTGTGCATGTGTGTGTGTACATGCAGATGTGTGATCAAGCGTGTGTGTGTTTGTGTGTGTGTGTGTGTGTGTGTGTGTAGATATATGAATATTTGTGTGTTGGCATGTGGAGGTCAGAGGTCAGAATCTGGTGTCATTTCTCAGTTGTTCCTAACCTTGTTCTCTTGAGAAAAGATCTGTCACAGAGACCTAGAGCTTTTGGACTGGCAGGCCACTGACCCTGGGGACCCGCCTGTCTCAATCACTCCAGTGCTGGGACTAGAAGAGCACCCTCTGTCTGTTGTTTATGTGGGTGCTGGGTCCCCCCACTCAGGTCCTCGTGCTTGTATGGCATGTCCCTTATGAACAGAGCCATTTCCCAGCTCCAGGTTGGTCAGTTTCTACAGTGTCCTCCACACCACATGGAATTACTGGTAGTGAGGCATGCTATGACATGTGACCCCAACACACACACACACACACACACACACACACACACACTTGTGATAGATGAATATATGTAAAAAATTTAAAACATTAACAATCTTCCCACCTGGACCTTTTAGCACAAGTCTGAGATCTCAGTTACTCCCAAGAATAAGGCAGGAGGGTCACAAGTTCAAGGCTAACCTGGTCAACTTAGTGAATCCTACCCCAAAGTAAAAGGGGTCTGGGGCTGTCGCTCCATGGCAGACACTTGCCCAGCATGCATGAGATCATAAGTACAACCCTGAGTGCTTTAATCTGTCCAGTGTGAGCTCTGAAGTCTTAGTAACAAGCCTAAGCTATCAGCCAAACATTTATAATTAATACTAAGTCTCTGTGTTGGTTATTGGGGAGCCAGTGGTCCCAACAAAAAACTCAGCCTACACCCAGCCTCTGCTTTGAGCTTCTCCCTTGAGGACTGGCCTGTGGATAGCCACAGGGACCCTCATCTGAACTTCTGGAGGCTCCTCTGAAGTCAGCAACGGTTCAGGGACCGAGCTGGAAATGGCCCTCATGTCACGACTACTCCATGACTAACCTTCAGTTCCCTTTAGCTTGTCAGAGATTTCCCTAGCTGAAGTGCAGATTCCACTGTCCAATCAAGAGCTAGCATTCTGCCACATCATCAGTTACCAGGGGAGGCGGCTCCTGGAGATGGTCATAACACCACAACCTTCTTCAGCTACAGGAATTGTGAGAGACAGAGGCGATTCCACCTGAAGCAGACGCAGTTAAATCACTTTTGACATCTACACCACAGAGCTGTGGGGCAGTAAGTGCCAGGTTAAAGGTACCTGGCTCGCAGCCATCTTCCTTCACTTCCTTTACTCTCACAAGCTTCAAACACACAGTTGTCCCTTCAGCCCTGTGTAGGAGAGGTGAACGCTCCCCTGGTGCTCAGACTGGTGAGTGAAGACAGACCATCTCAGAGCTGGCTCAGCACTGCGGCCAGATGAAAGTTTTTCAGCTGCAACTGGATCAAGATTTAAAATACTTAAGAAAATGGTCCTTTTGAAAACAATATTTATTCTTTGAATAAGTTACACATGTCTACAATGTATTTTGATCCTATTCACCACCAACTACCTCCTTCCAGCTTCCCCGGGACCCTCCAACATGCCTCCCTCCCAACTTCAGTTTCTCTTTAAAAAAATGAACAGCCACTGAGTTCAGGTATCACTGTCCACATGCACGTGGGTGTGGGGCCATGCACTAGGGGACATGAACTACCAACCAACAGCCACCCTGCCCCCACAAAACTATCCCTTCGTTTGTTAGGTTCTTGGTTTGTTTGAGACAGGTTCCTACTATGTAGACCAGGATAGCCTCTAACTCACAGAGACCCAGCTGCCTCTGCCTCCCAAGTGCTGGGGTTGGAGCCTTGGACCACCAAACCAGGCTGAGTGTCCTTTTAATGAATAGAATAGCAAGTTTCAGAAGGGGACCTTCTTTCTGAATCTCTAACCAGCAACTGATGATGCTGGTCTCCTCTGCTGCTGATTGGCTACTCACGCTGACTTTACCCAATCAGCACCAGAGCAGTGAATCCCCTGGCTCTTACTATCCTGGCAATGGGTAAAGAGAGGACATAGTTTCTACTGTGTGAGCTTGTCTGCTCCTCCTGTTCAGGTCTCTCATCTCCTCCAGCATGATGCGACTGTGGCTCCCCAGAGGCCCCTGTGTGGCAGCTGTGGTCCTGACACTGATGGTGCTGAGTCCTCCCGTGGCTTTGGTCAGGGACCCCCGACGTAAGTACACACCTCAGGGGCTGAGCTGCTGGGGTGGGGGAGGAAGGGGCCAACTTCTCACTGCCCAGGTCAAGTCACTTAATCTGCTATTATTTTCTGTGACCACCCACAGTCTTCACATGAAATCCAAACTGTTCCTCAGATAGGAGGCTGGCTGCCTGTGCTCTGAGATCTGTGTGAGGGGCCCCCGATGTCAGCCATTGCTTTTCAGTTTCTTCCAGTAACATCTCCAGCCTTGTGACATATTCCCCCAGGGCTTCAGGAGGATTGATAATCGTGATGTTAAATTAACCTCTTGCACAGGGCTTGTCTTCATTGTGTTGAGCTATGCCAGACAACGAGGTTTCTCTTTAAAAACAGAACTGCACGTGTGTATTTGTATTCTGTTTTGTATGTGTGTTTCTGTTGTTATAAGTTAAAAAAAAACAGTCAAATATTGAAGTAATCAAAAGGTTTTTCTGAAAGCATCATGAAGTCACGGGAACAGGGAGAGCATCCCAGGGACAATCCATGTGCATCCTCTGCAGGCTGTGAGGTCGCTGCCTGGGCACCTGGGAGGCTGAGCCCAGGGCTCTGTCTTTCTCTCTCCCTGACTCCAGTGTCTGTGCAGCCTGTTCAGGAGTGGGAGCTCTGCGGGGTGGTGGTGAGTTCCCTTTCTCCTTGGGAGCACAGGCCAGCTGAGGCAGCCTTAGAGAGGATGGGCTGTGTGAGCTGTTTCCAAGTGTGCGAGGCCTCTTCTGAGAGCCCGGGGTGGGTTAGAGCCCATTTTGGTTTTGTTTCACATGCCTGTACTTTAATTTTTCTCCTACATTCTCTGGCTGGGACCAGGGAAGAGGATTGAATCCCATCACCCCTCCCCTCAGGTCAGATTTGACAAATGAATTTGGCATTAAATTTTAAAAAGATCTGGTTTGTGAATTCTGTGGATCTGTAACTCAGATAAGAGACTGAGGGTCAGTGTTAGGATCACGGTTTTAATTTCTGGAAACCAAAAGCCTATAGGATAAATCCAAAATCTAAATCATGCACAGAATGATTGAAGTCTGGGATCTGCACGTGGGATATAAAAGGCCGGGTTATTAACTCTGCTGAAAGCTGTGACCCTGAAATGCTGGACTGTGGACCAGCCATCTGACCCCTCTGCGCTTTAACTGATGTAAAATGGGGAAGAGACAATTTTTCATAGAGCTGATTAAGGATTGGGAGGGATGGTCCTGTAGAGCACTGGGGCCTGCTGCCACACTGTGTGCTTCTTCTCTGTGTTATCATCTCACTCATCAAAGGACACGCAGAAGCTTCCAGACTGCCTCTCACCTCATTGTCACACTCCACAGACCAGGCTCCTGCCCTTGCATCATCGTCCTTCTCACAAACTATTCTGATGACTTTCAAAACTGTTGTTTTTTAGCCGGGCAGTGGTGGCGCACGCCTTTAATCCCAGCACTCGGGAGGCAGAGCCAGGCGGATCTCTGTGAGTTCAAGGCCAGCCTGGGCTACCAAGTGAATTCCAGGAGAGGCGCAAAGCTACACAGAGAAACCCTGTCTCGAAAAACAAAAAACAAAAAAAAAAAAAAAAAAACTGTTGTTTTCCTCCATTTTGTCTTTTTATATAAATCAGATTCATTCTTCTATCGTCAGTAAAGTCTCAAAACACAGAGATCAGTGATTCCATCTCTGAAACTCTCAGCAATCTCTCTATTAGTCATGAGTAGTGATGACTGCCACAAATATTTTCCCACGAAATGCACTGAACTTAAATCTTTTTGTGCATTTGGTGAGGTGATAATGCCTGGTGCTCGCATGGACTTGAGTTACTGTTAACAGATCCCCTGTTCATTGTCTGAGTTAGATTAAACATGGAAATGGAAAACTGTGTATCTGATGCATCTCTCCCCATCTCTATTTATAGAAACCACAGACGCTCATGTGACTGACTGACACCCTCACCTGTCCCTGGGGTCACACTGGGCATCTGAGTTTAAAAAGATCTGGTTTGTGAATTCTCTGGACCTGTCATTCAGATAAGAGACTGTGGGTCAGATTTATGACAGTGGTTTTCATTTCTGGACACTTCTCCAGCAGTTTCCTATTAGTAACAATCTAAAACCTCCCGTCAACCCCAAGGCTCCTGAGTGCGGCTCCTTTTCATCCCACAGTCTCGTCTCTCAGCTGCCGCCCTCACCCCCTGTGCCCCGTGGCTCATGAACTCAGTGTTGTCACAAGGTGTCACCTCAGCTGAGATCTGTCCCCTCCCCTGGCACTGGCAGTCACACCCTCCTCCTCTGGCTCTCATCTGTGACACACCTTCATTGTCACTCCCCAGAGTGGCTCTCTGTCCCCTGTCACTCAGGTCTCCCTGTCAGTGGAGCTCCACCCCTCTCCTGCTTGTCCCTCAGTCTCACAGTTTTAAGCTCCAAACAGAGGGGGAGGGGCATCTGTTTTCCTCTCTGGATTCCCTGGGTCTACAGGGTCAAGGCTGAGGGAGACTTCCTGTGTTCTACCTGGTGTGTGTAAGGAAGGATCAGGAGCCTGAGGGGTGGGAGGTGTGGTGTCTTCTGAGCTGCTGAGTGCTGGCATCCAGCTTAGCTCCAGATGTGACAGGTGTGGGATCAGAGGGGGCAGGTGTGGGATCACAGAGGGCAGGTGTGGGAACAGAGAGGGGCAGGTGTGGGAACAGAGAGGGGCAGGTGTGGGATCACAGAGGGCAGGTGTGGGATCACAGAGGGCAGGTGTGGGATCACAGAGGGCAGGTGTGGGATCAGTGAGGGCAGGTGTGGGATCACAGAGGGCAGGTGTGGGATCAGTGAGGGCAGGTGAGGGATCACAGAGGGCAGGTGTGGGATCAGTGAGGGCACACACCCCTGGTCCCTCTGCCTCTGGAATACAAGAGATACATCTGTTGGGTGCTGATCTTTAGGGAGGTGACCTGAATCTGGACACCACACCTCTCCCTCCTGGATGGTCCATGACAGGATTGTTCTGTTCTCAAGTTGATACCCAAATGGGACATTTTTCCCTTGGAGCTGTGGGACCAGCAGCAGCATCCAGCCCTAACTGAGCAGGGGACACTTGCCTTGACCAAGAGTGTGTGACAGGGAAGCCCACAGGCTGTAGCTCTACACAGGAACCACAGGCAACTGAGGAGTGCTGAGGGTGTGAGAAATAGTCTTCCCAGGGAGGAGCACTCCAGTCGGTTATCCAATGCCAAACAGTCAGCCCTGAAGACATACGTGCCAGTAACATTCCAGAGACTGAGAAGGGCGTGTTCACGTATTTAGGAATGTATATGCATATACATATATGTGCATAACAACAGTTAATGACAAAAGAGGCCTTGAATTTGAAAGAGAACAAGGAAAGGCATTTAAGAGGACTAATGGGGAGGAAAAGAAATGGATAAATGACGTAATTATACTACAATCCCAAAAACAAAGAGGCCCACTGGCTGTGTAAACACATCTTAAGGGCAGGCCCGGTGTGCATCAGTAGAAGTTCCAACACAAAGTGAACTCAGTGGTATTCTCGGAGTTGTTTGTTTGTTTTATGCTTTACAGGTCTTTTGCTTATATATTATGGTTTCAGATTTTGTGCGGTTTTTTAAATGTTATTGTGTGTGTGTGTGTGTGTGTGTGTGTGTATGTGTGTGTTTTGTTCTATTCCATTTTTTTTTTTCTGTCTTAGTTGCCTATTTGTTTTCTAGGGCAAAGAAAGAACGTGGATTTGGGTGGGTGGAGAGGTGAGGAAGACCTGTGGGGAGTTGAAGGAGGGGGGACTGTGATCAGAATATATTGTATGAAAAAGTCTATTTTTAATAATAATAATAATAATAATACAGTGGGAGTTAAAATGTCCAATCAACCTCCACATCCACTTTCGATATGGAGGTCATAGGTCAGGACTAAGGACAAGAGTGGGCACCTCCTCTCCTGTTAAGGCTGGGTGAGGTAAACCAGATAAGCCATGTTTGGTTGATGTCCATGGGATATCGCCCTTTTCTGAAGAGAAATGGAGGAGGAGTGGATGGGTGTGGGGGGGAGTGTTAGGGAGGGAGTGAGAGGAGAGGAGGGAGAGGAAACTGTGGTCAGGATGTAAATGAAGGAAGAACCAGAAGGAAGGAAGGAAGGAAGGAAGGAAGGAAGGAAGGAAGGAAGGAAGGAAGGAAGGAAGGAAGGAAAGAATGAAGGAAAAGAGGCCAGCTTGGTCTACAGAGCTAGGACAATCAGGACTACACAGGAAACTCTGTCTCAAAAACAAACAAAAAAACCCAAAACAAAACGACAAAAGTAAAAAAAAAAAAATAATAATAATATAAAAAACCAAAGAGAAAGGAAAGGAAAGAAAAGAGCTGAACGTTATTAATGGAGGATTGTCCCTGCCTCTCCTAGGAATTGAGATTATCCAGAGTTCCTCCACCTCTTCTTTACACCCTTGTCAGCTGCCTTCTGTCCCTGGGTTGTGGTGACGTCAGAGGTGGGTTTGGGTCTGGTCATTTGGAGCAGCTGAAGAAGGACTCAGGGACTCGGGTGCTTGTCCCCAGAGAAGAAGATCATTCCTGTCTCCACAGCTCGGTTCTTGGAACAAGCTAAATGCGAGTGTCATTTCTACAACGGGACGCAGCGTGTGCGGTTTCTGGAGAGACACTTCTACAACCGGGAGGAGATCCTGCGCTTCGACAGCGACGTGGGCGAGTACCGCCCGGTGACCGAGCTGGGGCGGCCGGTCGCCGAGTCCTGGAACAGCCGGAAGGATCTCCTGGAGGACAGGCGGGCCCAGGTGGACACTTTCTGCAGACACAACTACGGGGTCGGGGAGAGCTTCACTGTGCAGCGGAGAGGTGAGACGTGAGCGGGAGTGAGGAGGGGGGAGGGGGGAGGGGAGGGACGAGGGTGAGGGGGGGGCTGTGAGGGAGCAGCAGGAGGGCGTGTGTGTGTGTGTGTGTGTGTGTGTGTGTGTGTGTGTGTGTGTGTGTGTGTGTGTGTGGTGTGTGGTGTGTGTGTGTGTGTGTGTGTGTGTGGTGTGTGTGTGTGTGTGTGTGTGTGTGTGTGTGTGTGTGTGTGTGTGTGTGTGTGCGTGTGCGTGCGCAGGAGCCCGCAGAGGCTGCTGGGTTCTTAAGCAGCCTGACTCCGGCCTGGGAACAGAGCTGAGTCCTCAGCAGGAGCTGCAGCACTGTTAGCTCAGATCACCTCTCCAGCCCTGAGGAGAGTGTCACGGCAGCCCAGGACAGTGAAGGGGGTGGACACTGTGTTAAGATGCATTAATCTAGCTTAAGTAGGAGAGTTAGGAGAAGGGGGTGGACAGAGGAAGGTAAAGACGACCCCAGAGTGCCGGCTTCTCAAAGAGTCACACAGAGGAGACCTTGGCTATGGGCTCCCCCAGGAAGAGCAGAGAGGGTTGTCTTGGCCTCAGCCATATACGGTGTTTGACTCTCAGGTGACATCTCGAACTTTCTCTGAGAAATGTACTTTTCTCTCCCCTCTAATCTGATGAGAGACCCAGGAGGAGGCTCTGCTGGTGCCTTGGATGGAGTGAACGCAGGAGCGACTATGTTTCATGAAGGACTAGCCCTGTGTTCCTTCCCTGTCGTGGGTCTCCAGTGAGATTCCCAGGAAACTGCAGGTCACAGCTGGGGACAGAGAAAGGCCATGAGCAATTGCTTCTTTGTTAGCTGGAGGCTTCAGCCAGACCCCAGAGTGAGGGACCCCTCTCCTCTCATGTCCCCGGGTTTCCTGGACTTTCCCTCCAGCCTCAGGTGAAACAAAGTGTTCTGTGCTCACAAAAGCAGCTCACTGAGAATGAAGTGTCAGAGTAAGCTGTGTGCGGAGAGTCAGGGGCAGGGAGGACTGTGACCTGTGAAGGGAAGATTCCAGAAAGAACTGGACCTCTGTAGGGCTGGGGACTCATGAGGGCTTCATGTGGGGAGGTTAGAATGTTGCAGATCCAGGGCCTAATGATAATTAATTCTGTCTCTGTCATGACATCCTTGACTACTGAGTGAAACCTTCTGGGATGTGTGGAATTTTCAGACACGTAGTTTCCCCCCACTCAAAAGCCAAGACTGTCATCGGAGAGTACCTGAGGCTCATGGCCACGGGTCCCCACGTTGCTCTCACCCCGCCCACCTGATGCTTCCACGATGCACTTGAAAAGTATTTATTCACCAGTTCCGTTGTTCTGTTACTATGGAAACATCACAGAGCAATCACCATGTGGGAGCACAGAATTTGGGGTCATCCTACTCTGTGTTCTTGGCCCATGGTCACACATATTTGGCTCTAGAATCAACTGTCCCTTATCCCCTCTGAGGTGACACTGTGTCACACACTGACCGATTACAAGGCACCTCTGACTTTTATGAGGCTTCTTAGGTCTAAATCCCCTGCTGTTGTCTGTCTGTTTCCTTATTTACATACTTTACTTCACAGGATGATCCGCCTTTAATCCATCATTTCCTTGTTTAACATGCGAACATTACTGTCTTGATGAAGCTGACTGTGTTTTCAGGTCCCATGTTCTTTCTCTGTGTCATGTGACGATGTTTGCCTCATGATCCCTTGTTAGATCTGCGTTCCTGTCTAGTGTGGAGAGGCTGTGGTTCCAGGACCCCAGGGGCACCTGACATCCAGACACTCAAGCCCCCTCTATAACATGAGCCAGCGTTGGCATGTGACCTGTGTAGAGGGAAGTTTCTGTCCCATTAGCAATTCCCAAATGCCCAGCAGCCACTTCCCAAATTACCACACAGGAGCTTATATTAATTATAACTGCTCAGCCTTTAGCTCAGGCTTATTACTAACTAGCTCTTACACTTAAATTAACCCATAATTCTTATCTATGCTTAGCCACATGGCTTAGTACCTTTTCTCAGTACAACATTCTCATCTTGCTTCCTCTGCATCTGGCAGGCGATTCCTGACTCCACCCTTCCTCTTCCCAGAATTCTCCTAGTGGCCAATCAGTGTTTTATTAAATTAATTCGAGTGACAAATCTTTACAGTGTATAAGAGCATTACCCCACAGGAGACCTGTGTACCTGCTCCTGAGTACTTAACCATGTCTGGGTTACTCAGGATGTCGCTGTGTGCCCAGACAAAGTTCTGAATTTGATGTACTGATAGACTGTGTTTCTTGACCTGCTCATACCAGAATAAGAAGAAAGGGAAAAGAGTGGAGGCTAAGGGCGGTCACTGTGTCCCTCCAGTGTTAGAAGTGACAGCAGCAGAGAAAAGCCAGGGAACATGCAAATGTGGAGATGACAGGCTGTGGGCTCTGGTGCAGCCTGAGTGTTGGGATTCTGATTTGGTGTGTTTTCTAGTCAGGGAGCTGTTGCTGTGATGAAATACCATGACCAGAGCAATGGGGAGGCAGAGGACTTATTGCGCTTATACTTCTGTATCACTGTTCATCATTTATGGAAGTCAGGACAGGGACTCAAACAGGGCAGGAACCTTGAGGCAGGAGCTGATGCAGAGGCCATGGAGGGGTGCTGCTTACTGGCTTGCCCTCCATGGCTTGCTGAGCCCACTTTCTTATAGACCCCAAGACCACTGCCCAGGGATGACACCACCCATAAAGGCTGGGCCTTCCTCCATGATCAGGAATTGAGAAAATGTCCTACAGGCTTGTTTACAGCCTGATCTTATGGAGGCATTTTCTAAACTGAGGTTCTGTCCTCTCAGATGACTTCATCTTGTGTCAACTTGACATAAAACTATCCAGAACCGTGTATGGTATTGAAAACCCCATTTCCAGAGGTCAAGGTGGGGAGAGTTTCTTCACACAGCTTGAGAAGATTGTGGAGAAATGAACCGAAATTAAGAAAGAAAAGGAAGGCTTCTTTAAACCAATTTTAAAGGAGGGGAGAGATTTATAATAACAGCCTTGAGAATGCCTGGTACACTGTGTTGTCCAGACAAAAACAATAAGAAAACAGCCCGGCTTCTTCAGGTCAGATAGGATTCTCCCCAGTTGCCTTCTGCAGCTTGTCCACTGCTCAGCAAGGGTCAGGGTGCAGACTGCAGCACCACCCACAACGCTGCTGCTCACAACTGACCGTCCGGCCCCTGCTGAGGTGACTGTGAATCCCCAGGTAACACACGTTAAGAGAACATTGACCTACGATATATCAAAGCTGATTTATGTAGAGTTTGGCAAAAAAACAGATGAGTCCTACCTCACACACAGAACTGTCGCCATCTATAGACAAGAAGAGACAGAACCCAGGGACAGGTGGGTATAATTTAGCTGTTGGGGAAATTACCACAGCTGGGAGAAGAGCCTTCCTCTCACTGCCAGGACTTTCACCTCCAGCTGGTGATTCCTCCAGGGAGTGGGGCTGACAGCTGAAGTGTGAAAACAGACCCTAAGTCCTGGGACAACTCTGTTAGATTCTTAATCCTGCCTGGTCTTCACCTGGATGGATGGAGCAGACAGACAGACAACCTGGGAGGACACTCTGTCCTCATGACTTATTCTCACCTCCCTTTCTCCTCTAGTTGAGCCTCAGGTGACTGTGTACCCAACAAAGACGCGGCCCCTGGACCACCACAACCTCCTGGTCTGCTCTGTGAGCGGCTTCTACCCCGGAAACATTGAAGTCAGATGGTTCCGGAACAACCAGGAGGAGAAGGTTGGGGTTGTGTCCACAGGCCTGATCCGGAATGGAGACTGGACCTTCCAGACCCTGGTGATGCTGGAGATGGTTCCTCAGAGTGGAGAGGTTTACACCTGCCAGGTGGAGCATCCCAGTCTGACCAGCCCTGCCACAGTGGAGTGGAGTGAGTGGGAAGCTCCTGACTTGTGAATCCCCGCCCACAGGAAGGAGTTGGGTGTCCTGGCTTACCCCCAGCCTGTCAACCCTCTGATCCCGGGATTTGGGCTGAAAACCTAAACATGGCCTCCTTTCTCAGGGGCACAGTCCACATCTGCACAGAACAAGATGCTGAGTGGAGTCGGGGGCTTTGTACTGGGTCTGCTCTTCCTCGGGCTGGGGCTATTCATCTACTTCAGGAATCAGAAAGGTAAGGAGGCTGGTGGGGGCCAAGACTCCACAGCATTTCAGGGAAGAGCCATGGCTCTGTTCTCGGGATGTCACTGGCCCTGTGACCTCAGGTTTCAGTGGACTCTGAACACAACAGTCTGTAGTTACTGGATTGAACCCTAAGTAGTGATAACATATGGAGATGGGGAAGTTGGGGTGATTCTGACTTGAGAACTGGGAACAGAGCAAAAATGAAGAAGAGCCACTGGGCTGGTGTGTGACTGAGGCTTCCTGAGCCCCTCTCTCTGTCCACACTCCCCTCTGCCCTGGCTGCTGTGGGCTGTGGTGCCAGAGGAATCTCAGGTAGCAGCTCAGAGCCTGGGGACATGCATCTGGGGACAGATCTGTCTTCATGCACTTATGTGTCTATTTTGTTCTCTTTTCTAGGACAGTCTGGACTTCAGCCGACAGGTAATACCCTTCAGTCTTCCCTCAGAGACAGATCTGCTTCCCCTACAGTGTGGGCTGGGGGTGTGATGGAGCCCAGACAGAAACACTGGGGAAGGTGTAGATCCCAGGGTCTGGCCAGGCGGTTCTCACTGAGCCTTGTTCCTGCACTTACTGAAGGCCTGTGCTCTGAGGCAGCGCTGACTTGGGGCTTGAGAAGTTCCTCTGCTCACGTCATGCTGTCAGGAGAGGCCTGGGGTGGTGAGAGAAGCCACTGCAGGGTCAGGTCTGGAAAGGCCACTGTCCCCTGTGCTCTGCAGGACTCCTGAGCTGAGGAGAGGTGCCAAGGCTGGAGGAAGGTGCTCCCCTGTCTCCATGGCAAGAAAACGTGTCCTGTCTGGTTCACATTCCTCCATTGACAGTGCTACCCAGGACCCGGCTCCTCCTGACCCTGGACCCTGCGGACCTGTGCTCCCTGATGGCTTGCTCAGCCCCTGCCTGGGCCTGCTGCCCCAGGACAGAAGTCCTCTCACCTCCTTTGTCCCACTCTCTTTTGTCCCCCACCCTTTGTCTGGAGCTTCTCAGCCAGCTGCTGTCATGATGCTTTCTCACATTTTTCTCAAATAAACAAAGAGTGAAAATCACCTGCCTCATTGACTTTTAGGAAGAAATAGCAAACAGAAAGGAATGACCTGCTGTAAGACATTGTTTGTGCAGGATGAGCATGGCAGATTGTATATAAGAAAGAAAAATTCAGTGTTATACATTACTTGTTAATTAGAATAATTTTCTGAATTGGATTGAATTTGAAAGACAACACATGATTAGATCACACACAGTTGTTCAAGCACACAAGAAGGGAATCCCCGAGACTATGTCAGAGGAGGGAGATGCTGCTGTGGCCCTTGTCACAGTGTGGGTGAGAACACACTCAGGGCGATGCTCTGAGTCCTAAGCTCTGTCCTTTGCTCTATGGAGCAGCTGGGTGGGAAGAGAAATGTGCTTGCATTGATTGAGAATCTGGAAGGTTCTGCTGTGGGGTTCCACCTGATGCAGCAGTGTCCAGACACTGAGGTTTTCCTCTGTCCTCCACACACAGAGACACACACTAAAAAACAAAATAAAACAAAACAAAAATAGTGAATCATTAAGTGTAACAATTAATTCAACTACAATGAAATAAAGAAACCAAGCAAAATGATGGTTTTCAAAAGTTTATATGCTGGTCAGTTATTTCCTGAGGAAAACATGTTTCCTAGAGAAATTTCAAGAGAAAACAAACCCATGAGGATCCGGGACGTGGCTCAGTGGATGAAAGCCCAGGCTGTGTGATCCAATGGACCTGATTTGACTCCTGGAGCCCACACAAAGGTTAGAGGAACAATTTTCCATAGTTGTCCTCCTAGACAGATGGACACACATTTTTAAATGGAAAATTTTAAATTAAATGAGAAAAGGAAAATGTGGTTTAAAGCCTGATTTTACAGAATGCTAAAACATATATATCTATTTTCTTTCCTCATGTGTGTGCCCATGTGTGAACATGTTTATGAACATGCATGTGCAAGCTGGAGACACACTTGTGTCTTCCTGAGTTACTCTCCACCTTCTTTTGAGACACAGTCTCTCAGTGGACCGAGAGATCTCTGGTTGATCCCTCTGTCTCTGCCTCCCAGACAATGGGATTCCAGGTCCCATCACCCCAGGCCTGGCTCTTTATGTGGGTGTTGGGACCCTGAGTTCAGGTCCTCACACTTGTACTTCAGCACTTACTGATGGAGTCGTGACTCCTGCTGTACGCATCCATTTCAATAAAAACATTTGACATCTATTTTCTGTTGATTAATGTGCAGTCAGAATCAGAATCCCGAATCCTACGACTGATGTAAGAACGAGAAGAGGTTGAAGTGGATAGAAGAATCTACTCCCAGCTCAGTCCTGTCAGTAAAATAAGTCGCTGATGAATAAAATTAAAACATAAATGAACACACAACAGCATGTTATTGGGTCCATCACCATCACCCATTACTACCATCACTGTAAACACATGGGAGGATAAAAATCCCCTCTGACCCTCGAAGCTTTGGTGGGCAGGGGGTACAATGTGTTCAGAAAATGCTTTGACAATGTCTTAAAAAGTTGTGCATCTTAGCCCGGTGATGGTGGCACATGTCCTTAATTCCGGCACTGGGGAGGCAGAGGCAGGCAGATCTCTGTGAGTTCGAGGCCAGCCTGGTCTACAGAGTGGGTTCCAGGACAGTCAGGGCTACACAGGGAAACCCTGTCTTGAAAAACAAAACAAAAACAACAACAACAAAAGTCGCTCAATTTCCATATAACTCAGCAATGCCACCTCTTGGAACTTGTCACCCTTAGAACTTGTCCAAAAAAAAGCAAAACAACCCCCGCCTCCAGGAAGGTAGTGGCACAGATATTTGGAAAAACATTGGCTTCCGTAGCCACACCACGGAGACAACCCAGATCCCCACCATCTGGTAACGGGGAACCACAGCCACCTTCAGGATGCCGCTCAACAGTCCTGTGAGTCAAGCACAGGAAGAGGAATGAACCTGGGAAAGTTGTGAAGTGAAGGAAACCAGACACATAGACTGCAGGTCACGTGTGACCCCCTGATGCACAACAGGGCTGCTGCTCCTGGTCTCAGGCCCTCACTGTGAGACTCCCAGGTGACAGGACAGTGAACTGCACTGGGGTGGGTTTCCACAGCTCCCACCCAACCTACCACCTGACCCTGGATCTGTAAACTTCTGTGCATGCTCAGAGGCTGAGCTCCCTCTTTTTGGAGCCCAGTAGCCAATCTTAAAGAGAAGGCAGGTTACATCCCCCAGTGCCCCCTTCAGTCGTCGTCATTGTCGTCCCCCGCCCCCCCCATCCCCCTCTGTCCGCCCACTGTCCGTCGTGTCCCCCCCCACCCCCCCCCCCCCCCCCCCCCCCCCCCCCCCCCCCCCGCACAGCACCAGGTCAGGCTCAACACTGTTATGGGACCACACTGAAACAGAAAACAGAGGCATTTTTTTTTTTTCCAGAGTAACAAGAGAGATACGACCTTGTGCCTTGTGACAACACTGAGATCACATGCTGAAAACACAGAGGTCTTCCCCAGTGCTGGCTCAGCAGACCCCAAAGAGCCACATCCAGACTCCTCACTGTCAGTAGACCCCAGAGAGCCACATCCAGACTCCTCACTGTCGGCTGACTGTGCTCACCCAGTTTCTCCTTCCTCCCTGTCTGTTATCCTGACCCTGGCAGGGCTGCCTGCAGCCACACACCTGCCTGACACAGTCTCTCCCGCCCTCTATTCCAGCATCCAGTCCCAGGGTGGCTCTGGTCTCTCTATCCTGTATTGTGCTTCCCACTGCTGTGGGATGGTCTGTATGTCAAGTGTGTTGCTGATTGGTCAATAAATAAATCACTGATTGGCCAGTGGCCAGGCAGGAAGTGTAGGCGGGACAAGGAGGAAAATAAAGCTGGGAAGTGGAAGGCTGAGTCAGAGACACTGCCAGCTGCCATGATGACAAACAGCATATGAAGATGCTGGTAAGCCACGAGCCATGTGACAAGGCATAGATTTATAGAAATGGATTAATTTAAGCTGTAAGAACAGTTAGCAAGAAGCCTGCCACGGCCATACAGTTTGTAAGAAATATAAGTCTCTATGTTTACTTGGTCGGGTCTGAGCAGCTGTGGGACTGGCAGGTGAGAGAGATTTGCCCTGACTGTGGGCCAGGCAGGAAAACTCAAGCTACAAATGGCGTCCAACGTGGTGGCAAGAGTTTCCACCTAAAACCTGAGAAAAGATTCTAAACCGGAGCTAAAAACAGCTTCCTAATTGTCTCTCTCAAATGAGCGGCAGCTGCCGGTTTGAGCTACTTGTGGGTTCCTGGCGAGCACGCTTGACCTGCAGTATGGCGGGAATGAGGCCTCTGCAAGTGGCACATTAAGCTGCATGGTGGATTTAGACTTTGCTAGTACAAAACAAAAAAAAGAGGTTTCTGGGCTACACACTGCTTGGATAAAAGCATAGACCCACGATAGCTCCCAGAGCTGGCGGTAAACTACCTCTGCCATGTTTGGAAGCTGAGGTGGGCGGAGCCAGCAGCCACAGCTGCTGCAGTTTAAAGCAATAGATTCACAATAAGACAGATTCAGATGTAATAGTTTACAATGTGTGTAAAATATATGTAGGCTTGAAAGAGACAAAAAAGGTGATATATACAGTTATATAAACAAATACATAGTTTTAAAAAATAAAGTCTTTAAAGAGACAGTAAAATTAATATAAAAAATAAGCCACATGAAGATGAATATTACACAGAAAATCTGGATTGTGTTGTCTTTGGGATTTTTAACTGCAGAAAAACATTTGCTCGTAAAAGATGTTGAGTTAATCCAATATGTATATTTTAAAGATACCTTGACTTCAAAATTTGGATATAAGAATGTGTTGCTTTGGAAAAGAGTCTCTGCTTTTGTTCCCACAGAAAGCCAAAGGTTATGGATTTGTTCCAGATTAAGATACATCAGGTTTGACCAGCCAAGACCCCCTGAAAGGTCTCCGATGACACCATGGCCCAGATGATCCAACATCTGGAACGGTTTGAAGGCAACTGGCTCAGAGAATACAGCCTCATGGACTATTCCATAATCCTAAAATTTTCTTTGTGTCCCCATAAGATACAGCGCCCCCCTCCAGCAGGAAGTAGTAAGAGAAGCTAACGCCCAAATTCCCAAATTATATGTAATTTTACTTTGTTAAGGTTAAAACCTTCCTTTTTGAAAAAAAAAAAGAAAAGGGGAAGTGCTGTGGGATGGTCTGTATGTCAAGTGTGTTGCTGATTGGTCAATAAATAAATCACTGATTGGCCAGTGGCCAGGCAGGAAGTATAGGCGGGACAAGGAGGAAAATAAAGCTGGGAAGTGGAAGGCTGAGTCAGAGAGACACTGCCAGCTGCCACGATGACAAACAGCATGTGAAGATGCCAGTAAGCCATGAGCCATGTGGCAAGGTATAGATTTATGGAAATGGATTAATTTAAGCTGTAAGAACAGTTAGCAAGAAGCCTGCCATGGTCATACAGTTTGTAACCAATATAAGTCTCTGTGTTTACTTGGTCGGGTCTGAGCGACTGTGAGACTGGCAGGTGAGAGAGATTTGTCCTGACTGTGGGCCAGGCAGGAAAGCTCTAGCTACACCCCACAGTCACCTACCCGCAGTAACTGATCTGTAGTTGTCGATCCCAAGGCAGCCAGAGAAAGCTTCTTGCTTTGAATCCACTATGGAGAGCTACAGGAATGCTGACATTTAATTCATGTGAGAACAGTCCTGTGGGTTCAGAGTCTGCAGCAAAGGTCTGTGCAGACCGATCCAGGTTTCCAGAAACCACCTCAACTGCCCCTTCCTCAGGAAATCAGCTTCCGTTCTGCCTCCTCACATCAGCAGAAGTGAAGAGACTGTCTTTGCTTTACCCTCCCTGGAGTTCAGCCCAGACCACCCCTGGTTTGGGGGCATTTGTAGCACTGTATTATCCAAACGATCATTCTCTTAAATTAATAATGAAGGAAATAAAGAGATATACCATTTTAAACAGCTTACTTTTGACACTCATAAGTTATAGAAACAATG